CAATTTATTAAATTTCTGCAAAAATTTAAGCACCTGCAATGAAGTGAGCTGGGCCTCAAGGGATTCGAGAGCATCTTTTATACCGAGGAGACTCTCTGTTTCTTCTTCGTTGTCATCTTCTTCGATTTCTGCATCTGGTTTTGCTTCCGATTCCATGGAATCGGTTTGGTTAGCTTCGTTATCGGCATTGGAAGTCTTGTGGATACAGTTGATGATTTTGGACTTTAAATCTGAGGTTTTTGCCAAAACCAGAACAATTCTCTCTTCATCCATGTGCGTCTGAGCTACGGCGGCGGCGGCGGAGGAGGGCGGCGGTGGTGAGGGAGAGGGGTTTGAAAGCTGCAACAAATAAAATTATACCCTACAAATGGGGGAACCGCCAAAATCCAGCGAGTTGTGGTGTTAAGTGAAGGTCTGCAGAAAGCAGATAGTCGATATTTGCTAGCTGACCCAAGGCAAAAAACTTATTTCTCAACAGGTCCAATAACTTTGTCTTTTCGTTCAAAATGATCCTACTATTTGTGGAAATTGGACCTAAACTTTCGATTTTTATGAATAGAAATTTTGAGGTTTTGGAATGAGAATTTTAATTCCCACAAAATTTATCTTGTAGAAAGACAATCCAATTTCAAATTAATCCATCAATTTATTATTTAATTTATTTCATTCCTATTTTTCACAGAGAATTTTCACTCATGATATTTATTTTGCTTAATTATATTTAATTTTCCCATAAAAAAAAGGGTCAATTTACGAAAAAATCCCTCTTGTTTGGATAGTTACATCTACCCGCTCAACTATGATTTTTTTCTTACATCTCCACCCTTATGGTGGAAATTCAACCTAATCATCTGGATTTCGTGGAATGTGCTCTATTTTTTTCTCGTTTTGTATAAAAATACTGTTTCTGATGCACCACAATCTAATATATACAAGCAAAAAAAAATACATATTATGATCATCTTGCTTCAAAATTTGGAGTTCGAATGGGATAAAGCGGGTAAAAAAGTGATAATATTCCATATAATCTCGAAGATTCCACTAAATTTGAAACCGCAAGGGTGGACGTGTAAGAAGATTTATAAGCAAGGGGTAGTTATAATTATCCAAACAAGAGGGGTGTTTTCGTAGTTTAACCATAACTCGTGGGTGCTTGGAATTTAACCAAAAAAATAAAAATAGGAGTAAGTAAACTCAATTAGTTGCTAATAAATTCAGCTACTGAACGACGTCGTTAGATGAAAGCTGGAGTTCAAAACTTTCAACCAATCAGATGACTCCAAAAAGAATCTTTTCCTTTTCCCTTCCGCTGTAACAAACTCAGAATTCCCCTTTCTCTCTCTTCCACCACTATATATATACTGCACAGCAGCAATTTTCTACACTCACATTTTTCACACACACTCTCCCAAACAGAAAAAATCAATGGCGATCCCTCTGCGAATCCAGCTCCTCTTCCTGCTTGTAATCCTCCTACTCATTTCACTGTTCATCTCCGCCGCAACCGCCGTAGACGGCGGCTCCACCGCTCCATCAATTTCTCCTACTTCCACCCCCTTCCAGGCCATAACTCACACATATCCACCAGCTCTCTTCGCCACCATCCTATCCACACTCGGCTACCAGGAACTCTCCACCGCCGCCGTAACCGCCAACCTCTCCGCCACCACTCCACTCACCATATTCGCCGCCTCCGACGCGTCTCTCCTCACCTGCGCCTCCTGCTCCGTCCCCGTCCTCCTCCAGGAGCTCTCCATCCCCGGACTTTACCCCTTCCACTTCCTCCAAACCCTAACGTTTGGTACCAAAATCGAAACCCTAGCCCCCAACCGCTGCCTCACCCTCACCGGCGACGGCAAGAATAATAGCAAGCTTTTCGTCAACGGCGTCCAGATCACGAGCCCTGACATCTTCAGCAACGGCCTCGTCGTTATCCACGGCCTCCAAGGCTACGTCTCGCATCTCTCTCCGCTCTCATGCAACGTCGAGCGGATGACGTCACTGTCGTTTCCTTCGCCGTCTCTCTCCTCCGCCACGACGGCGCCTCAGTCGCTGTTCGTCATGCGCCTGATGCTGAAGGATGCAATTGTCCGGCTCCGCGCCACAGGTTACACCGTCGTCTCGCTCGCGCTCCGCGTGAAGTACGCCGATCTATCGGAACTGAAATCGATGACGATCTTCGCGCTCGACGATGTCTCGATCTTCTCCGGCAACGGAAATGCCTACCTCTCGAATTTCAGGTACCACGTCGTGCCGAACAAGCGGCTGACGGCGGCGGAGCTCGTCAGCTTGCAGCTGGCGACGCCGTTGCCTACCATGGACGCCGGAAACAGCCTGGTGGTGACCACCGCAGGCGGCGGAGGACTTCTGTCGCCGATGAAGATCAACTACGTGAAGATTACAACCATCGATCTGCTGCACAACAGCAGGATTGCCATCCATGGAGTGTCGTCGCCGTTTCCCCATATGAACCAGCATCAGCCGTTCGATCTGGAGAGCAGTTCTGCTGAGATCCGACGGCCCATGTGCGATCACTTTGATTGGAACAGTGGGACCTGTGTGGCTGAGGCACGGGTGCCACCTGGCGTTCTGTCGACCGTCGATTTTGAAGATCATCATGGACTGAAGTTCTGATTGACTGGTTAGTCAACTTTGTTGAGTTTGAATTGTATGTCACTGTAGGATGACAAACTTTACTGAATCATCACTGTACGTACGCTTCTTATACTCTCTGGCACTGATCATTTTCGGCGGTTATGTTATGGGAGTAAAATTGAGGTGATACTTTTCGTAATAATAATAAAAAAAAAAAAAAAACAGAATTAAAAATCCTGTTGCGTGTGTGATTATTTGATATTTTTTAACTATATTAATTCTACTTAACTACTTTTAGTTGATCATTTATTTTACATTTAATATTAATCATAAATTAGTGCATTTATATACTTCTTTTCAAAATTTAAAATTAATTTACAAAAAAATACAAACTTGTATTAATGTAATCAATTTTCATTAGATCAACTCAATTGCATTTGGCGCAGTTGAATCTTGTAAGTAGCATGTAAACTTAACCAACAAATATGACTCAAATCGAACATATACATGTTTTCCGACACTTTGTAGAGAAATAAAACACGAGATGTAAATCAATGGAATCGCACCCAACACATGTTTTTTCAGACTTGTTCGAATTTTTATCAAGCTTTCAAAGATGTTTTTTAGCAACCGGTTCAAGCTCAAACGAGTTTTAATAGAGCCAAAAAGTATCGAATTCGAGTAGCAATATTATGCATGTCAAACTCGAGTTGAGTTTCATAACTTGTCAAAACGAAAACGTGTTCAATATTGGTTCGTCATGTATGTTGACAAAACTGAGCTCAAACGGGCTTTATAGTAACGATCTCAAATCGATATCGAGTTCAAATTTACGCCAAAAGAATGCCAAAACCACATTGGATCAGAGTTAGAATGCAACGAAGTAATTAGTAATGTTTATTTATATTTTGGAAGAAAACATCAAATACGGTAACATAAGAGCGTAATGTTTATTTATATTTTAAAAGTACCACTTGCCACAGCCACATGAAGCAGCCAAGAAAGCAAACGACATACTGACGAAGAAAAAAGACTAAAAAAACTACCACCACTTTGTACACATCGAAGCATCACAACGGACTATAACGTAAAATATAGATAAATTATGCAAAGAGCCCGAGCATAAACTATATATATATATATAGTCGAGCTAAATTTTCTTCCATAGTAGCATCTGGAAATAAATAGCCTCGGGGGAGCCAAAATATGTGAAAAACCGCCACTTCTTTGTCATGTTATTTTATGTACCTTAATATAGAGAGCAACTCCTATGGATTCATTTGATTAGCCTCTGCTGGTTTGTTGAGATCGAATAGATTATCTGCAGAACTTTCTTCTCGAGCACGCTTACGTGAAAACTGTTGAAGATTCTCGTCTGAAGTTCCGGATGCTGATGCTTGGCTTACTGCTTTTTCACCTCCTACAAAATATATACATATATATTTACTAAGCTATTTTTCTAACGATTGAACAGACTATACACTATTCTGTTTTTAGGTTTCAAGTCATTGGAGTAAATATTCAAACAACAAAGTATAACGAAGGCCAGTGGTCCTAAGCAAATGCACATGCTCAATGAAATTCCCGACAATTTGTAACCTTCCGCCACCACAGATAGTTGAATAAAAAATTATGGATTCAACGGAACTTACAAATTGAATTGGAATTGGGATTTTGATGGCTTCAGAAAGGACATAGAAAGTGACCTTCTGCAAGACAAAATTTTCAAATGCAAAATTGCCTTGCAGTACAAACAGAACCGAGACTCACTATGTAGTAAATCCTTTCTAACTGTTAGCTTATGCATCTGTTCTGATATAGTTAAAATGCAGGTGTAGTGGTACAAAGTAAGATCATAATGTGGGGATTAGTTAATCAAGCCTAGTAATCTTTATATTGTTTAATTAGAATTTCCCCCTATATCTATTATGATTGAACATAAATATTACTTTCGTCGGAAATGAGCAATACAATCGTCGGAAATGAGCAATACATGGATCTACGAAAAAGGGTCCCAAGCAAAAAAATTACCATAGGACTGATCAGTTGAAGTCTGACATTTATTATCGTTACTCGATTGGGCGCTCCACCCAACAGTCAACTCCCCTGCCTTCTCAATGTTTGACTGATACGGAGCTATATTGTGAGTAGTAAATTGAAGTGGAGCTAACAAATCATTCTCAATGCATTCATACCTGCAAAATTAGCAAAATTGCTTCATCTTTTGCAGTTCAAAAATAACTCCTCCTTAGACAACTAAAAGTCACATTTTATTTGGGTTTCCACAAAAAAAATAATAAGAAACAAATATAGTTAAACTTACATTTTCTTGCAGAGGCTATCAGTGATAGCAGAGAGATCAAGAACTTGCATCTTCATTTGCATGACTCGTTCCTCAGAGTACTCATCGAACGGCTCCTCGAGAAATTTGGACAGCTTCTCAACATTCGACTCTAACTGCTGTTGTTGGTCTTCGAACAAGTGCTGTTTCGTTTCCCTAACCTTTTCGGTCATCTCATCCTTAAACAGTTCATCGCCAAACATGTAGAAAGCAAACGGGTAAGAGTATGTAAGAGCCCGCCTTGACCTGAAGAGTCTGTAAAGCCCGTTTGTAACCCAGCTGAAATCTCTCAAGTTCGACTCGTTCGCTTCCAAATTCGATACTTTCTCCTTCACTGTCTCGCTTAGTCGAGATTCTTGCTTGAAGGAGTCTGTATGAGCTTTGTAGCGATTGTGGTAATGCATGTATCTGTAGAGCTCTCGCTTTGCACGCTCGGACTTTTTTGCACTGTCTTCTTTGTATCGACCACAGCTGTGGTTAGCTATACTTGACCAAGTATGATCTCGGCCTGTAGCTCCACCACACAGCCAACTACAGTAAAGTAGTAAGATATATGTAAATTATGGTACTTATAAAAATTAGATGCAATAAAAACTAATAAAGCATGCTTACCAAAATGGCTGCCCGCATATGCAACTAACTAAATTACAACCACCATTCTTCTCAACAGGTTTGTGACACTTTGGACAAGGCTTTGTATGAACAGTAATCCAATTGACTGTCTCGGATTCGTCCTGACATTTCTTGGTCCAGAGCTTCCACATCAAGCACGAACAACGAGAATGTGCTTCCGATACACAACTGAAACCGAACTGCTAACCGCAAGAGCATTCTAACTTCAAGAATCCTCGTTTTCTACCCGTATAGCATTCCCACAGTTG